ATAACTTCCCGTCTACCTTATTGAAGGATAATGTAGTAATTTGTCAAATATGCATTAATTCTTTACAATGTGCCCAGAGGCAAGGATTGTACCAATCTTTAAAAACAATTATTCCTTCAGGAAGAAATGACAAAGATGTCAGAAAAATCAAATAGGAGCCAGCCACTGGCTGCTCACGCCTGTAATTCTAGCTACTCAGGAGACTGAAAGCTGAGGATCACAGTTTGAAGCCAGCCTGGGCAGGAAATTCCATGAGACTCTTCTCTAATTAACCACCCAAAAACCTGAAGTGGCGCTGTGGCTCACATGGTAGAACACTCACCTTGAGCTGAAGAGCTCAGGAACAGCATTCAAGCCCTGAGTTCAAGACCCATAACTGACAAAAAAAATCAAATAGGATGTGATGTGACAAATACTATGATACATTAAGCACAGAAGTGGTATCTTGTCTTAAGACAAGATCCATATTGATGGATTCGAGAGGAAAGAATAGGGAGTCTATGCATAGGGAGCAGCATGAATAAGTCCAATACATTTGGAGAAATTAGACTACCTTCATAGTTTGATGTACAGGTCTGGACAGGAATATGTTGGGAGAGAGATGAGAGGAGAAATGTGGGTTTTGTGTGTCATGGCAAGAATCAGAACCTTTTCTTCTATGATGAATCTTCCAGATATAGTCAGAGAAAAAAATCTCTTTGTAAAGCCCTTCACAGAACAAATATTGATGAATTCAACTTTTGTATATGCTGAAAATAATTTTCCTTGCAGAAACTATGACTCTGTTCAAGGTTATCTAAATGAAATCACAACCACGAGCAAATTTGCACCAATAAAAACCCACCAAACAACTTAGTGAACTATAATTCATTTAAAGAAATTTGTCCCTTGATACTCATTTGCTACCAGTTACTAGATAGTAGAAACAGTAACAGAAGAGGATGACCGAGATTGGAAAAAAATGTGTAAGAACATTTGAAAAATGAAAAGATACACATCATTAATTCTTTCTGTAACATAAGAAAAAGATGATTTTTGCTCTAGGGAACTTTCCTGCAGTCCATGCATCTACAAAACTTTGAAAACTGAATTTGAGAGTCATTTCTGGATCTGTTTACACAGCTAAAGATTGTCAACAGAGCTTAACTTAACACAATGGCCAACCCATTCCCTGCTAGTAAGAGATAGGCAAAGAAGGTCCTGCTACAGAGGACTTCTGATGCAATCACATAGAAAATGGAGTTGTAACTTGGAAACTGGAAAAGTAGCCATTGATTGAATCAGAGTAGAAGACCAGGCAGAGAAAGGACAGGAGAAGAGGGGGTGGTCGAGGGGAAAAGCACAAGCAAAGCATTCTGAAGCTAATAGCATTGATATTGACCATGGCAGGACACATGTCAACATGCTTCCTTGATTCTGAGATAGAGTCTCACTCACCAGGTTAAAGCAGATTTGAAAGCATGGTCTTTTAAATGATTGGAACTATAGGCATGCATGAGACTAACACAATGACAGCTCCGACATCGTACAATTAATTGCAAAATGTAGAAAAATGAAACTACAGCAACAAAAGAATTTGGAATGAGCATTCTTTTGGCAATGCAAAAGAAAGACAGGGTGGGGCAGGAAAGTAAGAAAGATCATTTAAGATGGTGTAGTTCAGCAAACTACAAAAGAGAGGATGTGTGGGCCTGGATCCGGAGGTTTGCAGGGTTGTGGTGAGAAGTGGTGAAAATCAAGAAGCTTTAGGGAGGAAGTTCACTAGAATTCGGGAACAATCCGTGTTAAGAAAGGGGAGGGTATAATGGATGCTTTCTATAGTAGGCCCATTCACTGAGATAGGGAGAACCATTTTCAAATTAGAATTGTCAACCCTTAAGCAGGTGAGAAAGAAAGAGAAGGGGAAAGAGAAGAGAAGAGAGAACGGAGGGAAGATAGAGTCTAGCAACTTTTCAGAGGGTGGAGTGTATTCTAAGGCACAGAAGACCTTAAGATGCTTAAGATGGTGTGTGACTTGGGTAAGGGAAATATATATTATTACTAAACCATGTAAGTTCCCAGTATTGGAGAATGAAACAAATGTATATTGTGAGCACACATAAGGGGAGAATTTTACATTAGAACTGTCTGAACAAGACGTCATGGAAAGCCTGTAAAATAGCCAGTGAAAACAGGATTGTTTCAAACTGTATGTGTAAATCATCACATTTGGACATATAATTTGTATCTGCCAACTGTACTTTATAATCCCAGCTACTCAGGAGGCAGAGATTGCAGTTTGAGGCCAGTGAGATGGGGAGGGGGTATCGGGGGAGCTAGTGAGACTCCATTCTAGATCAATAAACTGGGCATGGTGGTACATGCCTGTCATCCTTGCTATGTGGGAGGCATAAATAAAATGATCCAGGCTCAAGGTTAGCCATGACAAAAAAAAATGCAATGTTCTACATAAAAATAACTACAAAAGCAAAACAGGCCTGGGGATGTGGATCAACCCTCCCTAGCATGCATGAAGCCCTGAGCAAAATCCTACTAGAAAAAAAAAAAACCACTCTAAAAAAAGTATTCTGCCAAAATTATTATTGAACTAATAATAGTAGCAGCAGTTTCAGGGGTATATTGTGAGCAGATGTCAGATGGTAGGAGACTGGAGATCAAAACGGGAAGGCAGAAAGATTGGAGAATTGTTTCTTGAAGTTGATCCCACAAACGAATTGATATTGACTGAATCTCCATGACCCCTTCAACTTCTTCTCCCACTAGGTTTGGCTGAGCAGATCATTACAAGGCCCTTAAAACTCTAGCATTATATTACTGCCTAAAACTGGGTTTGGAGAAGGCCTTGATCCCATTTTGGACCTCCCAATAACTTTCCTTCAGCACAACTCAGATCATCGAGCAAAGAAGCAAAGTCTCCGACTATACTGATCAAAGTTTATCACATACATCAAGGCCCCCTACTTGCATATCTTGTGAAAAGCTACATAGATCTGGGCCTGTAGCACAGGATGCCACCGTGTAGGAGTAGAAGAAAGTAGGTGCCAACTACACAAGACAGCATGCTTGTCAGAGCACTTTTCATGTTTCCTATTTATCTCCCAAAACATTATTATAGGAATTACAAAATTACAATCTTATCGCATTTTCTCAATTAAACTGGGAGAGAGGGTTAGATATCTCCACAGTTTCATTTGGTTTGAACAAAATCTAGTAAGATAATGCAAATCTCATTCAGAAGTGCATGCTCCTGTACACTTCAGTGATTCAATGTCACGACTTAAGGTGCTTCTTTTACTTGAATACCAAAGGGCTATATTTGTATAGTTGTTTATACACAATATAGACAAATATTCAAAATATATACATAAACAAATATACAAGGAAAATTATTTCCACAGTATACACAGAAAAGTTAAATGTATCAGTATTTGTTCTACATAGGGCTTCACAAAGAGATTTCTTTTTTTCCCTGACCATAGCTAGAGGATAAGGTCGTGATTCTTACCATGAAAAACAAACTGAACCCTGTCCACATTTCTCTCCTCACTTCTCACAACTCATTCCTGCCCAGGCCTCTACACCAAAAATAGTAAAATAGTCGAATTTCCCTAAAGGTGCTGAGCATATTTGTGCTGTCCCATATATAATATAGACAAATATTGATACTATTTGTCTATTTTAACCAGTATATAAAGACTTGGCAATTATTGGGAAAACTCATTTCTTAAGCTAAACACACTTTACAAAAAATAGGAATTAGCTGCGTACTGGTGGCTTAGGCCTGAAATTCTGGCTACTTGGGAGACTGAGATCTGAAGTTTAAGTTTCAAAGCCAGCCCAAGCAGGAAAGTCCATGAGATTATCTCCAATTAACCACCAAAAAATCAGCAATGGCACTGTGGCTCAAGAGGTAGAGTGCTAACCTTGAGCAAAAAAGCTCAGGGACAGTGTCCAGGCCCAGCGTTCAAGCACCAGGATAAGTAAACACACACACACACGCGCGCACACACACACACACACATACACGGAGATTAAAGTTGTTTATTACTCAACATGTTTCAAATCTCTTTCATGCACATACTTGATCTCCACAACAGTTTAGGGGCTAGACAAGGTAGGTATGTACCCCTTTGGCTACAAGGAAATTGAAATGTACAGAGGGAATGTGAATTCCCTGACTTTCAATGTATTGGTAGAGCAAAGACTAGAATTCAGTTTCTCTACTTCAGCCTATTTCCTTATCATCCTATCCTCAATTACAACGTCAACATCAGCAATTTTCTGAAGGATCAGAACACTATAGATAGGCAACACAGCTAAATCAAGCTAATACTGTAACTTCAGTCCTAGAGTTCTGGCCTGATTTTTCCTGAAGACCCTATTTTGCTTTGCCTTTGAGCATTTATACTATTTTCCCCACATTATCTCTTCTGCTAAATTCTATTTAATAAATGTTGGGACTTTTTTTACTCATGCTATGTACCACTGATTTGTAAAGCGATCTGGATTTCTTTGAGTTTAGAGATGAAAAACAGTAAACTCTTGAGAGGCAATTACCTGGTAGTACATCAGTCACAAAAACAATCCAAATTTGTGTGAATATTTGAGTTTTTTTCCCCTTCTACCATGTTCCTGCTTTATATTAGTAAGATGGAAATTGAAATAAATTCATTGCTGATGGATTAATTTGTCACTTTCCTTGAAACTGGCGAACCCCCAAAGTTAGACAGCAATAGGAAAAAAAAACTGCCATTGTCTGTTAAGAAGTGTCAGACATTTCAAGGCAAGAATGAATGTATGGAAGAAGAAACTTGTTTCTTCTTTACTAACAAAAGGGAAAGGCTGGAAGTCAATGATATGGGTGTCATTTAAATTTAAAAAAAAAAAAAACCTTTACGTAACTTTTTCTCTGGGAGAGAAGACTACGAAGCACATTTTCCAGGAAGTGTGGGCTGTGACGATTGTGCGCTCTTAACTAATCCTGAGTAAGGCGGCCAACTTTGACAGTCTTCTCATGCTGCTTCTGTCACCTTCTTGGTCAGAAGATACTATTTCAACTTAAACTCAGAATGATCGAAACATACAGCCAACCTTCTCCTCGATCAGTTGCCCCTGGACTGCCCACTAGCATGAAAATTTTTATGTATTTACTTACTATTTTTCTCATCACCCAGATGATTGGATCGGCACTTTTTGCTGTGTATCTTCATCGAAGGTTGGACAAGGTAAGACAAATAACAAATCTTTAGCAATTATACCAGGGGTGTTATTGATTGGTAAGTTGGTTGATTTTTACTTCTACCTAAAGATAATAGGCAATGGTAAAAATCCAAGTAGATGGATTGTTTTATGCAATTTAACAACTGTGGTCTAGTCAGTGGGGTCTCAGATTCTTCCTCTGGGGTTAGTCAGGCTTTGCCCCTAACAGCTCTATGATCCAGGGCAATTTACTTCAGATTTCTATGCCTCGGTTTCCACACTTGTAAAATACAAATGGTCGTGATACCCACACCATAGATTAAATGAGTCTAGCCTTGCAAAGCACTTAAAACAGCATCTGAAACATAATGTTATGTGAGCTCTATCTATAATTCTTAACTAATGTTTTACTTTAACAAAAAAAACCATTGTTTTTTGATGGAGAGTTTTACATTTTGGATTTCTACCTAGGAAAAGAATGCATCCATTTGATCTGAAATTTCATAGTGTTTCAGATAAGTCCCTAAATTCAGTTTTCTAGTAAAGGTAGTATTCTGTGAGTCTTAAAATGCCAAGTCTTCAGTGGCCAGCTGTTCAGTGTCACTCTGAACAGCTTTACCTTCTTAAATGACTGGATTTGCAGGAACAAAATAAGAGTTTGAAAAAGACAGCATGGGGATTGTCCCTGCTTCCATTTTGCATTTGTCAACTGTATTGACAAACACCCATCCTAGATGAATATGAGAAAATGAATCAAGTACCTGGCTGTCCCTAAAAGTCCGCACGTGGAACTATGGCCAGGCAGAAGCATCTAGATGCCTGCATTTTCTCTGGGTTCCTTGGCTGTCTTCTCTTGAGACAAAGACATAGAATTAAAGTCATGAAGTTTTCTCTCAGTGTACGGCAATATAGTGAGAATGGGAGCAACCCATTACATTATCAAATTTTAGGTTTCAGTGCTGAGAAGAGATGTGTTCTGAATGCGGTCTCTTGTTGTCTGTGTTTGAAATGCTGGCCTCTGTTGATCAAATGCCTAGAAATAGGCCTGGCCTCCAAGGGGAAAATAGTGATAGGCCAGAAGATTTAGATGTGCCCTCAAGGAGAAACATAACCGCTGGCTGCCTGGACCTTTTCTTGAATGATGTTAAAAATCTACTCTTAAAAGTAGAAAATGGAATGGAATTAGTTGATAATGCAAGTGAATTTCTTACATTTAATTAATTACTAAGGCATTGGAAAAGAAAATATCTCATTAACTCTAGGGATGAGGGTGATTTGTTTAAAAGTACTTCTAAAGAAAGGAGAATAGTGTAATTAAAATTCAAAATTGGTGGACCCATGTTACAAATTACCTTCTTTTGAAAGCACTATATAAGGAACACTAAAACGAAGTGGGCAAATTAGCTCAGCAGAAAAGTATTTTATAGGCTAACAGGAAATTTGACAATTATAGATTATTGCTGCTATGGCCCATTAAAAAAATATATATATATATATTGTGATGAAAGTTCCTCAGAATAGCTGTGATTTCTATCCCAAGATACAGATAATATGATACCTTAATCACTGGCTTTTGTAGATTTTTCAATGGCAAGTACCAAATAGAGATGATCCAGTATAATAGCTCCTAATACTCCCTATTGATGCTTTCAAAGGCCTCCTCTTGTTGTGTCACAGGAGGGAATGTGGAGGTAAATGTCATTAGCTGCATTCTCCCGAATGATATTTTTCTTATCCTGGTTATTTCAAAACAGATAGAAGATGAAAGGAATCTGCATGAGGATTTTGTATTCATGAAAACGCTACAGAGATGCAGGAGAGGAGAAGGATCATTATCTTTGCTGAACTGTGAAGAAATTAGAAGCCAGTTTGAAGGCTTTGTCAAGGTAAGGCACGCAGCTATTTAGAAAAGTCAGTGAAAAGTTTTACTACATTATTTTTAGATCAGAAATTGAAATTCAGCAATGTAAATGTTTGAGTTGTTATACACATATGCAGAAATACTCACATATAAGCATGTATATGTGTGTATATGCATGCATGTACATGTATGTTAGCATTGTGTACATGTGTACATGGGTATGTGAGTATATGCATATATTTCACAGGCATGAATTTGAGTGCATGTATGCATCACGGAAAGCAAAAATGAAGCTAAACCTTTATGTTGAAAAGGAGATTTGGAAATGTGCGCACTCCTACTTGGATAGAAACCAATATTCTCTCTCTAGGAGAGAATGTACACTTCCCTTTGGGCACACATGTATTCATGAACTCACATTAGTGGCCATTTTAGATATACCAAGTTGGTTTTGTTTCATTTTATGTGTATATGCTTTTGGTACATTTTATACTTGAGTTTAACCAAAAGGGTGAAAAATACATTTTGGGTGGGGATTTTTTTTGTCGGTCGTGGGGCCTGAACTCTGGGCCTGAGCACTATCCCTCAGCTCTTCAGCTCAAGGCTTGAGCCATAACACCACTTCCAGTTTTCTGGTAGCCTATTGGAGATTAGTCTCATGGCCTTTCCTGCCCAAGCTGGTTTTGTCCCGCAGTCCTCAGATCTCAGCCTCCTGAGCAGCTAAGATTACAGGTGTGAGCCACCGACGCCCAACTTGGGTGGGGATTCTTGTTTTCTCTTGCTTTTTTCTTCTTGAGACAAGGGTTCATTCCATAGCCCAGGCTGACTTGGAACTCGCTATTTCTTTGCCTCAATATCCTGAGTACTGGCATTATAAGTGAGCAGCACAGCACTAGAGATGCTTCTTTTTCACCACTCAGTGTCTATCTATGCAGACTTTATTAAGTCTTCCCACTGTGCTGCCATGGTCCAATCTTCACTTGGTAGAAAAGTAATGCCCATTGGCTGCTGTCATGTTGACAAGCCACAAGTGAAGGCATTGCCTATTTGGGGACTAGTAGGGGCTCAAGAATCAACACAATATTCAGTGCTTATCCAATAATGGAATTTCAAATGCTATGGAAGTGAGACCTTTCCCTTCGTTGTGAGGAAGGGGAGCAGGGAATGGGTGATGGTATTCTCAGTGTCATTCAAACCAGAGCCCGTATAAAACCACTTGCTCATGAAGCCACTCTAGAGCCAACCCTAATCACACACAGACAAGTTCTGAAGTCTTCTAACCCATCAGGCTGTCAGCACTTAAAGAAACTAATGATTGTGGCCTATACTGGATATGTAAAATGAGAATTTTTAAAGCCTTTCCAGTAATTTGGTCCCAGAATTGTGTGGTCAATGAATTTTTTTCTTTCCTAAGAACATCAAGTTTGCGTGCTCTCTCTCTCTCTCTCTTTCTCTTTCTCTCTCTGCCCATTTTCCTCTCCAAACACTGAATCAAATGTCCTTAGCCATCAACTCGCTTTAGGGCTAACCTAGGGATACTGCTCTATCAAGCGGGTGAGCATCTGAATAAACCAATGGAGATGAGTTCTCGTGGAAAAAGTAGAATGTGATAAAGAATAAGATCTCATTTTCTGAATGTATTCCTACTTGTCTGTACTGTCATCAGTGTGTAACAGTACAAATTAATTCACTCACAAAGATTGAGAGTTTATTTCTTGTCACTATTCCCTACAGAATGCAGTTCAAAACTATAGCTCAAAACTACCTTTCATGTACTTTACACTAGTGTAGGATTCAAACGAAACCCCTAATCCTTTATGGACTAGCCAGATTAAGAAAGAATTTGAACTGATTGATTCTTATAAGATTCAGAAGTGGTACAAATTATACTGTGAATAAAGTCATACTCAAAACAATGGTTAATAATCCAACTGGAAGATAAAATATGCTTGGCCATGCAACTTTGGCTGAATGATTTCACCTTAGTGGGCCTCCATTTTCTCATAAATAGTTTAAGAGAGTGGAGATTGTCTGTAGGGGTATTATCAACTCTGACATTCTGTAATTATGTGATCAGCTTGTTGGTTTATTCAGATGGATGCCCGGTCACTTGATACACAGCTGCACTCCCACACCATACCTAAGTGAGCTAATGGCTGAGGGCATTGGACTCATCTTCTACCACTGGTGTGGAGCCCTAGACAATGCCATATACACCTAAGATGTGCACAATGCTTAGAGATAAAGCTCTGCAGCTACCTAATCTTCCTCAAATAACTGACCCCCTTGCCAATATCCATTGCCCCCAAATTTCTTACCCTGAAACAGTGCTGGGGACCTTTGTTTTTAACCCAATAGGGTGACTACAGAATAACTCTAGATTGGATTTATGCTTTCTGCTAACATTAGCAAGCTTCCTTTCTAGGCTACTGTCCGGCTAGTCCAGAGCAACTTCGAGTTTAAATTTGAGGGTTTGAAGTCACAGGGTTTGACGGGATTTTAGAAATCATCACATCCAATTTTCAGTTCACAGAACTTTAGTCTTCACTATCCCTACACAGGGTCACCCAATGTCAACATACCTTTGTCACAGCAGACTGCGACAAGCTATCACTTTAAGAGGAAGATGGAGTTTGGGGTTTGTGTCAGGGTAAATGAGAGCATCATTTTAAACAGCATGTTCAGTGGAACTACATCCATCCTTGACATCTAGACCTCCTACTCAAGAGAAATAACTCATCCCAGATTTTTTCTTCCTGTTGAGGTGGAGACTGAAAGAAGAAAACAAGACTCTAGGGAGTATGGCTTGCGGGGCCAGGGGGCGGGGGGGGGGGGCAGTTCACAAAAAGTCAAAGCTAGGTGCATAAAAAATGAACTGCTGACTTCACGTTTTTATTTTGGCCAAGCCTTCACACCCAGCCTTCAAAGTGTCTCAACCTCAATCATCACACATTAGTGTTCGCAAAGACTCTAGTCATTTGTTTGCTCACTATCTCACACTTTCCTGTGGCCACCTTTTCATAGCACCCACTTCAGCTCAAATGGAAAGTCGAAGCTCTGTAGCCCATGTAATCACTTTGAGGCTCAGATTCCCCATGGGGCTCTGTGACTTATGCCCTCACACCTGCCAAGGTAGCTTAACCTACAGTTGCAATATACATTCCTTCTAGGGGAGGAATGCGAAAGAAGAGCAATTGAGTCCAGAAATGGAAGGGCTCATAGGACTTTGATGACTAGGAGATGTGAAAGCTTTGCTTTTTTCCTCTTTGTGTACAGATTACAGGAGATAGGTGAAGTTGAGCCAAGCTTAAGAATGTAATTGCCTACGTTCTAGTCTTGGTTCAAGCCTCACTCTCTGGAAGTGATCTCATACTAGCCAATTAAGATCTCCAGGCCTTTTGTTCAGCCTCTTTTTTTTTTTTTGTCCCAGTACCTGTCCTCTCATTCTGGCTTGGCTTTTTTGCACTCTACCACTTGAACCACACCTTTTCTTTCAGTTTTTTTTTGCTAGTTAGTTGGAGATAAGGGTCTCAGACTTTTCTGCTCCAGTTGGCTTTGAACAGTGATCCTCAGATCTCATCCTCCCAAATACCTAGGATTATAGGTACCCAGGCTCTTTAGCCTTTATTAGCCTTCAGACTTTGTTAAAGAACGTCCCTCTAGCTCCTTTAAATCTTTCGATATCCCTTGAGTCTATAAATAAATCTTCTAAGATGTGCTGCATTTGCCTTCCAACATCAGTGACATTGGAATATGACTTGTGTTTCCTAAATCTGGATTATTTTCAATAAAGGTAGTCTATTCAAGGCAGCCATCAACAAGATCTCTCAAGCCCATTGAAAAGGAAAACAAACTTTAACATGTTAGAGGGGCTTTTCATAGTCTGAAATTTCTTTCCCAAAATCCAACTTACATTTGCAGAACAAGTTAATTCTAGTAGAATCCTAGTATGCTTGTGTTTAATAACATTCCATATACCAGTTCCTAAAAAAGAAGCATTTCCTCATTCAGCACTGTCAATACTTGTCAAAGCCAAAGCTAGGGAGGTCGAGGTCACAGGAAGGGTCAGTATCACAGCCTCTGGTCTGGAGCAAGCACTGGAATAGAGATAATAAGGCCTGAATTTTGTTTCCAGATTCTCCCCCTGGGATTTCTGGGCTGTCAGCTCATCTGTCAGAGCCATGGGCTCCCAATCCATATGATATAATTAACGACAGTACCTTAGTCTCTGTAATAATCCTCCCTCGCAACACACACAGAGTAATGACAGATGCCGCATGAATGTTACCTCTAAAACCCCATGGCAGAGCTCCTATCAAAATGACCTTTTGCGATGATTCTTCTTTCAGGATATAATGCTAAACAAAAAGCAGACGCAAAAAGAAAACAGCTTTGAAATGCAAAAAGGTAGGTTGCAATTTGTCCATTTCTATGCATGCTTAAAACATGAAGGGAAGGAGTCTTTAACTCCCACTTCCTAAGCAGGAAATGTTATTTATGTCTCCCTTTATTTCACTTTATACTAAAATACATCCTTGCTAAAACTTAAAAAGAAATAAAAGCATAAAAGTAAGCTTTGAACTGATCATATTAAATAACCCTTTTAGCCCTAGAAATAAAATTGTCAAATGGATACTTTTTCTGATCCCTATGATCAAGAAAGTTTCAATGATTCAAATGAATCCCTATAATTCATTTGTATGCCCATATTTATGGGGAAGGCTATGCTCCTCTAATGCTAATAATACCAATTATAAAGAAATTACAGTATATTCAGTATTTTAAACCACAGCCTGGAAGCATCTTCAGTGGTGACATAAGAAAGCCACCATTTGATAGAACTAGCATTTGTCAGCTTTTCATGAGGAGTAGTGCCTAGCAGATTCTCTGGAATCAATATGTGACTGTGTGATAATGTTCTAATCATTGTCCTATACTTGAAGTCAGAGTGTCTGGAACATCTTAAGGTTAGAAAATAAACTTGATGCCTCTCAAATCCAGCACAATCTTCTGTAAAACAGTATTGACCATTTGGCCTCTTCTCAATATGTCTAGGGATGAGATAATTTTTACCACATAAGCTCTCCTGGTTAATCTTTGAACAACACTAATAATTACAGTACAACTATTATACTTCTCCAGAGAAGTCTTTCTTCCTCAACTCAAATTTTGTTCTGTAATCTCAACTCACTAGTTTTAGCTCTGGTCTTGGAGGCCTTACCAAATAAAGAATAATTCTTGCCAGGGGCTAGTAGTTCACTTATAATCCTAGCTACTCAGGATGCTGAGAACTAAGGATCACAGATCAAAGCCAGCCTGGGCAGGAAAGTCCATGCAACTCTTATCTCCAATTAACCACCAGAAAACCAGAAATAGAGATGTGGTTCAAAAGGATAGAGCACTAACTTTGAGCAAAAAAGCTCAGGGACAGCGCCCAGGCCCTGAGTTCAAGATGCAGAACCGACAAAAAAAAAAAGAATAATTCTTCTCCTATATACCAGAAGTCCAGACATTGAAGACAGTAATCATGTCACCTAAACTTTGGTTGAACTTTTTCTTCTCCAGGCCAAATATAACTGATGTCTTCCACTGGTCCTCTTACGACCCTATCTAGGTTTTCCCTTGTTCATTTTAGAATATAGCACCTGAAACTAACCCAAAAATTGCTGGAGTGATCTGAGCAGCAAAGAAGGAAAGAGAGTTATTGGAGAACATAATGGTATAATTTGAGTGAATCTAATGCACACAAAGAAATGTATACATACAGAGATGTTGGGGCTATTTTCTATGTTGGTGCTATTTTCTGAGGCAAAGTGAATGCTCAGAACTTGCCTTTGCCATTAGCCTCAAAAGACATTAGGGTAGTACCATGCTACCTATAAATTTCAGTGAAATCTAAGCGAATAGGTTTTGCAGATGCTGCAAATAGTCTTCAGGAACACCATTAACATCCACACTGATCTTTCATATCATACATGATGAGAAAAATTATAACACATCTACAACGATTTTTTTCCTTCTTAAAATTTTATTTCAGCTGGGCACTGGGGTCCATGCTTGTAATCCTAGCTATCCAAGAGGTTGAAATGTGAGGATTGTGGTTCAAAGCCAGTCCTTATCTCCAATTAACCCCCTCAAAAAAATGGAAGTGGTTCTGTGGCTCAAATGGTAGAGCACTACCTTTGAGCACAAAGGGGCTCAGGGACAATACACAGACCCTGAGCTCAAGACCCACAACCAGCAAAAAAAATTATTTCATTATAACTATACTTACAGAAATATACTCATGTTGGTTAATAGAATGCAAGTTCAGGTTAACTTACCCTACCAAGTTCTACCAAAACATTGGCACATAGCTTAGTATTTTTAAAAGTTACAATCTGAACTGGGCACTGAAAATTCATGCCTATAATCCTAGCTTCTCGGGAGGCTGAGATCTGAGAATTGCAGTTTGAAGCCAGCCCTGGCAGGAAAGTTTGTGAAACTCTTATCTCCAACAAGGCCGGAAGTAGTGCTAGCCTTGAGCAAAAAGAAGCTCAGGGACAAAACTTAGGCCCTGATTTCTAAGCCCCAGGTCTGGCACATATACAAAAAAAAGGTACAATCTGATCTATTTTATCGACTACAAATGTATAAAAGGTCCTTTATCAAATGTTGCTAAAGCAGTATACCATTGGTTTACCTAAGAAAATAACATATTGTACTGTAAATGTTTATTAAAATGTTGCAACAAAACATGGTTGTAGGGCTGGGAAGGTGGCTCAGTGGTAGAGCGCTTGCCTTGCATGCCTGAGGCCCTGGGTTCCATTCCTGAGCACCACATAAGCAGAAAAAGCCCGAAGTGGGGCTGTGGCTCAAGTGCTAGAGCGCAAGCTTTGAGCTGAAGAGCTGAGGGACAGTGCCCAGGCCCAGACAAAACAAACAAGCAAAAAAAATGGTTGTAATGTTACAAGGACAGCTTACAAAGTACTATAACTAATGGATGTGGAAAGGGATGGAAAGGATCCTATGATATAGTTAATACTTCAGGCAGATTGTAAGTCTATGACAAAATTCAAATGAGTTCTTAAGTCTAAATTAACACTCAGCTCACTTCACGTATTCAAATTAACAAGGAAAACCTGCAAAATAGCTTTAGGTTTTTTTTCCTGATTTATGCAATGTAGACACTTAAACTTCTTCCCTCATATCTCTAGCTTATCAGTGTGGAAGGAGTAGCATACTACAATTATCTGCATTGAAAGGGGGGACATAAGTCAACTCGGGTTTTAATGTGTTGTGTAGTGCAACCAGCTCGGCTGGTCACTGAAGCTAGAATTATAGGCGTGAATTATCAGTAGTTGTATAGAGTAACAAGCTCATAACTGAAAAAATAAAACCTACCTTACAATTCCTTCCCTTTGAAGACCAGCACCTCTGATTAAGAAACAAGTATTTTACATGAGAGATGATTAAAAGTCTGGCTAAATTCTGCTAAGCCAAATGAGACACCAAAAGCATCTTAGTAGCTCAGTGTTATGGACATAGCTTTGGAGTCCACTAAGACCTCCAATGTATAGGGGTTGCCCTAAAAGCAAAGTTTAAGGTAAGTTTAATGAAGACAAGGATTTTAGCCTATGTTGATTTATGCAAAGTAGAACTTCGTATTGAACAATAACTAGGTGAATATAATCAATGGAAATACCTGATTCAATTATCAAGATATTAGAAACCAACTTTTTCCACAGTGGGAAGGATTACTGACCATTTTGTTCCTCCTTAAACATAAACTACTTCAGCACGGTCTCTAGGCAGCTATAGAACTAGACCAAATAGCCCTGTGAGCAATTTTGAATTTCCTTTTCCTGACGGTTTTCTTTTGGTTTAATATCAGGTGATCAGGATCCACAAACTGCAGCACATGTCATAAGTGAGGCCAGTGATAAAACAACACGTGGTAAGTCCTATAGCATCTAAGTTTCAGCCACCATCTGGGGAAGAAAGGAACACTGAATCAATGCAATCTAATGACCTGGCCCTTCTCTTCCTCTGGGGACCAACATACACATTTACTTATAACATCACACATTTCCTTATAACATCTCCCAAACGTTGTCTGTTGTCTTCAAAGTGGGCACAAATGCAGACAGGAATTCGAAGGACAAAAGGAGGTGGGAAACAATCCCAGTGTTCTTACTATGTTCTTGTTCAATGGTGGATTCTAATGATGAATTACTAGGTAGAGAGACCATTATTCTGACAGCAGAGAAGAGGTGGCAGGGAGTGACCTCTGATTGGGACATCTCCCCTCCTAACCCCTCTTTACTGTGTATAAATGAGCCCCAGGGGGTCTTATCTGTCATCTGTCAATCCATGTATGATTAACCCCAGCCTCACTGGGGCCAACCTTGGGGAAATTAAAGGTAAAATCATTCTGTAAAGATCAATAGGTACCAAGACATTAGATTTTCCAATGAAGTAACACAGACGACATACTGTGATCTTTTCAACTCTGAAAGATTTTATTTCCATAGACGTTCTGCCATCATTCTAGCCCTTATATTCTACATGCCACCTCCAAATCTGTATCTGGCAAAAAACCTAGGGCTGGCAAATGTGTCGCATCTATAAGCGGATGGAAACATGTACGCTAGCACAAAATCACTCATTTGCATAAGGGCAAAACCATCAAAGCAGCTTTTGAAAAATTCAGCAGAGCACTCTGGAATGGAGTTCTACATTTTCTTTTTCTGTCTCTGTCTTTGTTTCTGTCTCTTTCTCTCTGTCGCTCTCTCACAGAGAGAGAGAGAGAGAGAGAGAGACAGACAGACAGACAGACAGAGTGCATACAATGAGAGGAAAAAAATGAAGCTACTGCCTCATCTCTGACATAGCTTGGGCTTCAGTGAGTGTAGCATATGCATGATTATCATGAATCGTGGTATGGAAGTAAGAGCACTGGATAGGGAGTCTTTAAACACTTGCGATTCAAGAGCCATGAACCACTTGCTGAGTGACTGTAGGCAAGGTATTTTAACTAGGATGCCGTTTCCTGCCTCATCTACTTCACAAGGTTGCTTTAAATATGAAATCAGCTAATGTGGAAGAAAGTTACACTGTCAAGTTAAAATATATCAGTAAAGGTGCCACTACCTATTTTACTTCACTGGAATTTAGATGTCAAGAGTGACATAAAGCTCCTCATTGATAATTCTGTCATATGCTCCTTTTCTCAGAGAATATACTTATGAGAGCACATCAAATTATATTGCCCTGTCCTTGGCAGCCATTCTCTTGACCCTGAAATTCTCTTCTGCATTGGATGACATGAAAGTACCCAGAATCATCTCCTCCTTGGTCTTTATCCACAAGTGCCTAAATTTTTGTTCTAAGATATACTTCATAAATTCAGATTCTCCCAAAAGATGAATGATATGAATGATATTGGCCCTATAATACTTTGTAGGTATGTAGAGGTTAGGTGGAAAGACAATAATATTCCCCGTCTGCAGCTCAGCCCCAAATCTCTCGTGATTTACCTGGTCCTGCTGCTACAAACTTGAACTACATGACATAGCAAGAACTGTACATTAGAATTTAACGTAATAAACATAATGGACTGATATATAGAACCAAATGGCCTAGAAGTGGAAACATCATCAAGGAAGCACCCTTTCTGGAATGGTTTTGGGGGAGTGGGAACAGAAACATCTAGTATGGCAAAAAGCCCCTCCATTACTAAATGATGCATCTTTTTTCTTCTTTTGTCGGTCATGGGACTTGAACTCTGGGCCTGGGCACTGTCCCTCAGCAATTCAGCTCAAGGCTAGCACTCTACAACTTGAGCCACAACACCACTTCCAATTTTCTGGTGGTTAATTAGAGATGAGTCTCACAGACTTTCCTGCCCAGGGCTGGCTTTGAACCACAATCCTCAGATCTCAGCCTCCTGAGTAGCTAGGATTACCCTCTAAATGATGCATCTTAACAGGAAGGTTATTGTGCCTTGAAAGACCATTGAATAATAATTTTCACAGAGCTCAAGGGAGCAAATACATCAATATTTTCTCTTCTCTCAATTCCTCCCCCATCCTCCACCAGCCAATCTAGCTCTCTGTGTAAGCTGAGATTTGTAATCAGGCACACATACCACTTTGAACCCACTCAACATCTCACTTAAGAAAATGGCTCACTGTTGGTAGGTACTTGGGCTTAGCCACAAGAATACGAGTAAGAGCTTTCAAGTTGGTGGCGCCCACTACAATGGCAGATCAAAACCCATAGTAAGATGAACGCACAGTTTATTTTCATACTTCCTTGTTTAATTTTAGGCCTTGCTGTGGGAGGCAGATTGAACTTACAGCAACACAATCAGGTGGGAAGAAATGGGGTCTTATTTGTGTGTGCCAAAACTAAGCTAGGTAGATTAGCAACTTAGTAAAATTCAAGGCAAGATATTCATGTTAATTATTAGAAAGGATTTTTTGTCTGAATAGTTTGGTCTCTGTAATTTTATGAAATTTTGAAATAATTTGCACTTTCTTCATTCAAGGACAAATTGCTTTTGAAAGCTCAAAAGAAAGCTGGGACTGGTATCAGTGGTTCATGCCTATAATCCTAGTTACTCAGGTGGCTGAGATCTGAGGATCATGGTTCAAAGGTAGCCCAGGCAGGAAAGTCTTGGATACTCTTCTTTCCAACTAACCACCAGAAAACCAGAAGTGGCCTCTGTGGCTCAAGTAGTAGAGTACTCTCCTTGAGTTGAAGAGCTCAGTAACAACACTGAGGCCCAGAGTTCAAGCCCCACAACTGACAAAAAAAAAAGTCAGGGACAGTGTGTATGCTTCTGAGTTGAAGCCCCATGAATAGCACCCAAAAAACAACTCGAGAGAGAAAAATTCACCATGATCTGTTTCTTTGTTTAATCTTCCCAAGTGTCAGAAAAGTGCTTGAAGAAAGCCCACAACTGAACATACCTCTGACTGAAAAGCCTATGCTCATTTGTTATCCATAACCCCTCTTTGACTGTGAGGCTGGGAAAGAGCCTTGAGAAGCCATGCCTACTATTTCCTGTTAGAATGTGCATTATTCTCTGCTTCCTTTCCTCACAAATTTCCCTTTTTGTTACAGTTCTAAAATGGGCCGAGAAAGGATATTACACCATGAGCAACAAGTTGGTAACCCTTGACAATGGGAAACAGTTGACCATTAAAAGACAAGGACTCTATTATATCTACACCCAAGTTACCTTCTGTTCTAATAGAGATCGTTCGAGTCAAGATCCATTTATAGTCAGCCTCTGTCTGAGGTCTGCCAGTGGAACTGAGAGAATCTTACTCAGAGCAGCAAATGCCAACACTTCCTCCAAACCTTGTGGGCAACAATCCATTCACCTAGGAGGAGTATTTGATTTGCAAGCAAATGCTTCCATGTTTGTGAACGTGACTGATCCAAGCCAAGTGAACCATGGGACTGGCTTCACATCTTTTGGCCTACTCAAGCTCTGAAGAGTGCGAACTCCCAGGCTGCAGTGGGGTGAAGCTGGAGGACTTCTTAATATAGCAAAGCAGTTAGGGCCACCTCCTGTTGAACTGCCTATTTATAACCCTATGACCTTCCTCACAGAGAACTATTTATTATGTACCCCGAGGCACATAGAGCTGGAATAAGTGAAGTACAGGGTGGGTGGAACTCTAAGAGACTCTGCTCCATAAGAGCTTATTTTCTGAAATGGCAATCCCCACTGATGCAGATGTGCAGAAGATCCTATGAAATGACAAGGCCATGATGCACAGATAATTAGCTAAGTTCAGTTGTATTTCTTTACAGATATTGTCTTTCAGTGATGATGCAGAAGGGAAACTGGAAGCTTCTGCTTACATTCTATTGTTATTCACTCTGGCTCCTTGTAGAGGAAGCCAGGACAAGCTCTACAAAGACCCCCCCATAAATAACCACCTCCATCTCTTTCTCTCTCTCTCTCTCTCTGGGTCTCTCTTCACTCATTCTCTTTCTGGGTCTCTCTCTTTCTCTGGCTCTCTCCCTCTGGGTCTCTCTGAGTTTCTCTCTCTCTCTGAGTCTCCCTTCACTCATTTTCTCTCTCTGGGTCACTTTATTTCTGAGTCTCTCTTTCTGGATCTCTCTCACTCTGTCTCTGTCTCTCAGTCTCTGTGTCTCTCTGTCATACACACACACACACACACACACACACACACACACACACACACAGAGTGGCAAGCTATTGCTAACTGGTTTTTTCCCCCTGTCCCTACTTACAGCACTATAGATTGGGGGTGGGAGTGGGGAGAACAGCTCTGCACCTGCCCTCTCCTCACCAAAAAAAAAAATGACTGTATTTAAAGGAAATCTATTGTATCTCCCTGCACGCTCCATTGTTTTAGAGTGAATTTGTGATTATCTTGTTATTTATTTTTTGAATAATAAAGATTCCTTAACATTATTGTGGTCTCTTAGTACTAAATCCCTCAGCCAGGTTGAGGAAAGAGGAAGGAAGTATTTGAAGGAAATGTTGCCAACCTTTGTACTGTTTTCATCAAGAGGTCTCAAGCTTAGCACACAAAACAGCATTGTGGCCGCACAGTCTCTAGAAATCTGTGATAGCCTTTGATGGATGACATGGAAGCCTGGATTCCATGCAAGGCGATCTGAGGCTTGATTTCCAGCTTGCTCTGAAAAGCTTGCTGGAGATTGACAGTTTTCAAACCAATCACAGCCATGTGAGGCTAGAGGTTGTTAAGTAAGAAGAGTAGTATATCTTGGTAACAACTATCTAGGTGTTTCCATCTTAGGCAAGAAGAAGTACAGCTGACAGGCTGATGGTAAGGATTGGCCCCAGAATCTTCCACTAAAGCTAATGCATCATATGTCATCACTACCAATTGAGGAGTAGTTGGGGTAAGATGCCCAGAGTGACATATTTATCATCATTGATGGAGTGCCTTGTTTAAGATAAACACCCAAAGGTGAGTCTGATAGAGGGGAGAATATGATGCAAGTACATTATATGCATGTAAGAAAAAATAGTATATAAAACCCATTAAAATATAAAAAAGGGGGGAAGGAAGGTAAGAAAAGAATTACAGAGAAGGAAAACGTGATCAAGGTATATTACATACATGTATGGAAATAACACAATGAAACCCCTTTTATGTTTTTTATTGTGAAAATACTGTACAGAGGAGCTACAGTTACATGAGCAAGGTAATGAGTACATTTCTTATCAAGCATTGTTGCCTCCTCCTTTGTTTCCCCTTCCCATCCCTTTCCATCTCCCCCCCCCCCCCCCCCCCCCCCCCCCCCCCCCCCCCGGCCAAAGTTGTAAAGTTCATTTTTCGACATAACGACTTGCACATCTCATTGTTGCAATGGGTCCACCTGTATCCCTATTTAAACATTTTGTTTTTCCCCTTCCCTTCCCCAAATTACATCGTCATCAAATACAGTGAGAACAGGGGTTATATTGTGGGGGAGAGACATACAAAGCAACAAAAATAATCACATGATGCCTTATAAATATGTTAGAAAATGAAACCCCTTTAAACAAGTAACATATACTCACAAAAGAAAAGACAAATACCTCATATTCAACCCCAAAATATTACTGTAGAAATAAGAAAAGGGAAGGAGAAGGAGTGGCATCTATTCTTGGCCACCGTCCCTGCTCTTCATCCATGTGGATAGACTTGCATGGCTGCATACTTCCTCGAAAGACATTTGGCATGTGCAAGGGATATGCCCACAGTGCCTTCTTATCCTCCATTAGCAAAGATTTGTGTGCCGTGTTCACTTCTGCAAAAGGGACTTGAAGAATGTGGAATAGCATCCATGGAAGCTGAGGGATTTGCTGATATTTGCCATGATTTTTTGCCAGTCCTAGGGCTTGAACTCAGGGCCTAGGCAATGTCCCTGAGCTTCTTTTGCTCAAGGCTAGCACTCTACCACTTGAGCCACAGACCACTTCCGGCTTTTTCTGTGTATATGGTTTTGAGTAATCGAACCGAGGGCTTCATGCATGCTAGGCAAGCACTCTACCACTAAGTCACATTCCCTGCTCCTGCCATGATATTCTTACAGGTATAGATAGGCCTTTCTTTTTTTTTAGGAAGGCCAGAATCTTCAGCATAGTTGACAGCAAGACTGAACCCATTTGAGAGTGGAAGACAGTTCACAGATCATGCATGACTCTCCTTCCCTTCCAGTAGCTCAGTGCCCACTTGGTAGCCTTGTTACCCTTATGCAACTTGCCTGAGTAAGACAATTGGTGGGCAAGAAGCATTGGTAGAATTTATCAAAAGGGGATCCTTTGGGCTGGGGATGTAGGTCAGTGGCAGAGCACTTTCCTAGCCTGTGTAAGGTAAAAATAAACAAAGAAAAAGCATGAGCTACGCACATATTTAAAAGAAGGAAATCCTTGTCTACCTGGGCAGATTTTTTAAAAAATAATCTTCAGACACTTTTGGTATTTAAATATTGCCATTGAATTTCACACACACACACCTTCTTCCTTGAGAATCATTATCTTCCAGATTATTTCTACCTCTAGTAACTAAGTATCTATAACAGTATGTTGTTGAGAACTGGTAGCATGGCTTAAGTGGTAGAGTACTTGGCTCACCCTGAGTGCATTTCTCCTTAACACCAAACAAATTCATGGTATTAGAAGGTCTACATTTTCTAGGCCATCCCCACTTCTCCCATAGTCTCTGCTACTCTGTAAATGTCCCCTCATGTACCTCCCGCCCAGGATATTTTATTAAGCTTCTGCCTCACACAGCCAAATTTTCCTTAACCCAAAAGACTACTTCTTCATGAGGTCTTCCAGCCCTTCCCAAGAAAAGGGGATCATTCTTTCTTTCCTTTCTCTCTCTCTCTCTTTCTTTCTCTCCTTCCTTCCTCCCCACCTCCCTCCCTCTTTTCTTTCTTTCATTCATTCTTTCTTTCATTCATTCTTTCTTTCTTTGTTTCTTCCTTCCTTCCTTCTTTCCTTTCTTCTTTCTTTCTTTCTTTCTTCCTTTCTCTCTCTTTCTCTTTCTTTTTCTTGCTTTTGTGCTGGTCTTAGGGCTTGAACTCAGAGCCTAGACATTATTCTTAAACTTTTTCTTTTGCTTAAAACTAATGCTCTACCACTTGAGCCACACAGCTCCACTTCCAGCTTTATGGTGGTTAATTGGGAATAAGAATCTCACAGATTCTCCTGGTGTGCTGACTTTCAAAAACAATCCACAGATCTCAACCTCTGGAGTAGCTAGGATTACAGGCTTGAGCCACTGGTACCTTGCATACTCTTGTTATTGACATTAAAATAGACGAAATAATTAATTTTATATTCTACTAACACATTTTTACAGTCTCTTATGTTGTAACCTGTAAGCCAACACATTTTTACGGTCTCTTATGTTGTAACCTGTAAGCAAGATGAGAAATGTTTTCCTGCCTTAGAACCTATGCCCACTGTTTTCTGTGCTCACAAGATCAACTTTCTTTCTTCACTGCATGAAGCACTTACCTTAATGGTATTTATTGTGGACCTAATGGTATTTATTGTGGATCAGGCTTTCCCTATCATGTCATGAGCTTCTCGAGGAGCAAGGCCTTCTCCTGTTTACCTTGGTAACTGCAGTGTTGACCACAAGGCCTGACACAGAGTTGGCTGTCTACTGTGTAAGAGATGAATGAATAAATGTAGTGACATATAACTCAAGAATCCATGAAATAGTTCTGTGTGCCATTTGAAGCAAAACTTTAAAATAGGATAAAGACATTCACTAGGCTAAAAATATCTAAATAAAACAACACACATTTTTATAGACTAGAGAGAAAATGAGAAATAAGTAACCTATTATTCCTTTCTTTCTTTCTTTCTTTTTTGGCTGATTGTGGGGCTTGAACTCTGGGCCTGGGTACTGTCCCTCAGCTCTTCAGCTCAAGGCTAGCATTCTACCTCTTGAGCCACAGGGCCACTTTCTTTTTTCTGAGTGGTTTATTGGAGATAAGAGTCTCACAGACTTTCCTGTCCTGGCTGGCTTTGAACCGTGATCCTCAGATCTCAGCCTCCTGAGTAGCTAGGATAAAAGGCATGAGCCACCAGTGCCCCACCAAACTGTTATTCTCATAATCTCACAATAATTTTAAAAGTACATCATATATCCTGAAAATTTACTTGAACATATTTAAAAGTTGTTCCTGCTGGGAAGGTGTCTCAGTGGCAGAGTGCTTGCCTTGTATGTATGAATTCGATTCCTCCTCAGTACCACACAAGCAGAAAAAGTCAGAAGTGGCGCTGTGGCTCAAGTGGTAGAGCACTAGCCTTGAGCTGAAGAGCTGAGGGACAGTGCCCAGTCCAAGAGTCCAGGCCCCACGACCGACAAAAATGTTCCAATAAACTTTAAGGATTAGAGAATTTTTAATCTTCCTGTAATATTGTGTTCTTAACTTACCTAATTTAATTTTGTGTTTATAAGTCCGGTATTTCTCCAAGAGTAATTGAAATACCCAATAATTTTTCTTTCTAGACAAACAGAAAATGAACAAAATATAAAACATTACTGTCTTTGTTCTTCAATTAAAAAGCAAGTGACTATGAGATATAAATGGTGTGCTGTAAGTGGTAGAAACAACACATATTTCTAGGCTTCAAAAGGGAACATGTTTTATGCCATATATGACCATTTCCATACCATTTAATACCACTGTGTTGGGAGCAGCCCTGCTATAAGTCTTTAAAGCAATTTGAAGCACCTTGAGACAAAAACATGGAGCTCAGTATGATTTCTGTTACTTTCTTTATCTTTGTGAACCATGTCACAATATTTTAAAGACCAGAAATATTGTTATAGTCTGGTGGTTAAGGATGGAGTCAAGCAGATAATCTTACCACTATTTACCAACTTTGTAACCACAGACAAGTGTAAGCCAAAGTAGGTCACAGTGCCCTCAACTATAAAATGGAATAGTAAAAATATTATTTTTGCA